TCCGGCTATTCTCAAGCGCCTACACCTTTTCGCAGATTGCAAAAGCAGAGGGAATAAGAAGCACAAAGCAAGCATGAAAATATCGAAAAGACAAACACATATAAGTCAAGGACTGCTCGGACTACCAATGTGTGGATCCCTGGGATGCACCCCCACATGCCGACGGTGGCTTTGCCGAAACCCTTCGATCCTGGGCTGCATACCTCCTCCAGCTGGTACTCATCGTTGTTCGATGTATGTGCGCCACCTTTTTTTCACGGGTAAAACTTATCAATAAGCGGCGTGCAACAGTTGTTGTTGGCATAGGTCCAAGGCTAATTGATCTATGCCGTAAAGCAATTGAACGAGAGAATTTATTGCGTTGAACTCTTTTCACAAGGCAACACAGATGACGGATTTCAGCAATAAACGCACACACACACCGTGCACCCACAAAAAAAAAGATGTAATTTTTGACAAAACATACATAAATTCACATCATCGCCATCCGGTGCACCTCCAATGCCGAAAAGCGAATCGAGAATCAGGTTCGGCACCTGCATACTTTGATCATCGAGCAACACAATATCGTAACCGTCAAGAAATTTACCCATCAGTGCTTCGCTGTCAAAATTTAAGAAGCCTATTTTTAGTGCAACTTGCTCATCTTGCACGCCAACATCCATGTTTAGATCTGCAAAATCACAGCAATGAAGAGTTGGGCCGAAGATGGTCAAAGTCAGTTTTGTTCAGTGTAATTCATACGATTTTTTCGAAATGAATAAACACATCCGAAAATCTGTGTGAAAATGTATACGACTTAATGAACCGAAACATTTCTTACCTATTACAAATATTTCCTTAATCCCCTTCCCCCATCTTACTACCCTTTTTCTCCTTTTCTTTGTTCTTTTCTTGATATTTTCTCTTCAACCCTTAATAAGTGAGTGCGAAATATCCAAAAATGAGGAGAACAGAGACACTGGCAACTGTATCAGTGGTGGTGCGGAAGTTGTTGCCGTCCAAAGCGCCGGGATAAATACACAAATTTACGGCATTTCAAGAAAATTCTGTACCTCCGAGGCTATCGCCAAGCAACAAAACACATTTTCGCGACGATATTTCACTGAACAAAGACCCGTGATAGCTAATCACAGCACTATTCTTGCAGAAAGTATGTATCAGAGGCTCCGAAAATGCAACTGCTACGTCGTTTTCGTCGTATTCCTAAAAAAAATTTGATGAGAAAGAGATCGGGAACCTTTTCTGGCCTCTTACAGATTGCGGAATTTCCGTTAAAAAACATAAAGACTTGCAATCATAAAGCTTTCTCATGCTGATTGGACAATATCCGCAAAATATCAAGTATTTCTGGGAAATATAAACAAGATTTTGTACACGAAGAGGCACTAGGCGATCTGAATTCGTCGAAAGAGGCTACGTCTGCACTCCCCTTCCCTCCTTTACTTTTATCGAAGTACTGCGATTCCAATCTGATACTAACGGTACTGTCAAAACAATTCACGCTAAAATTTAATAAAAAAGAATTCTAAAGACTCCAAGTTTAATTCGGACCGATTCAGGAGGTTTTTCAGTTCAAAACGATTCAGGAGTTACATGAATTATGGGTTGAAACTCATGCTGCTGTAGTATGTTTTGCATCCCCCATTCCACACACCGAATACCGTCTGTGTTTGCAGCTTAGGGATGAAACACTGGGCACCAATTTTACATTCAGCCTTCACACATGTCCTTATTACATTTCCTCTATCTTTTTCACAAAATATGCTGTTTTTTTCCATCTTGCTTCGCTCGTTGTTTTCCATTTTTTTGTAGCCTCTTTAATCTCTGTTAATCGTCTCCATACTGACCGATTCAAAAACATCACCACTCTGGCCCTTCTGTACCTCCAGTATTTCCAATATAACTATACCCCGTTCCTCCATCTTTCCCTCTTTTTTACCTTGTAGCTATATATTTTTTGGTCATTCTTCCCGTACCATTTTACTCAATTACATTCTACTTCATTTCGTCAAACGTGTTGTAGCAGCTGACTTTTAAAAAAAAAAACCATAGGAGAGAAAAAACCATAATTATAATTATCATG